GGTTCAATGTAAATAAGGTTAATCCATTCTGTAAATATTTTTTATCACAAACAATTGAAACAAAGTAACAAAGAACAACAAAGTAACAAAGTACAGTACAGTAGAGAACACTAACCTAGGTGGGGGGGGGAGTTTATTGTTTGGAGGGAGAGTCCAAATTGTAATCGTGTGATAGCGATCGTGCTCGCGGGGGGAGATGGCCATGATCGCAATTGTTCTCGTGCAAGGAAGACGGGGCAATTGCATTCATGCAGGGAAGATGGATGATGCGATCACAATCGTGTTGCGGGGGGGGGGGAGATGACCGCAGTCGTGCTCGTGCAGGAAAGACGAGCGCGATCACGCTTGGTGGGGACATGGCTGCGATCGCGCTCTTGCAGGGAAGAAAGGGCAATCGCAATCATGCTTGTGCAGGGAAGGTGGGTGGATCGCAATCACGCTCATGCAGGGAAGACGGAGCAATCATGATCGTGTTAGTGCGGCAGCACGGCCATGATCGTAGTCGTCACCCAATGCAGAGTTCGCAACCTGAGGCAAAATTTTTCTGAAATTTCTGTTCGCAGCCCAATTTGGTTGTGAACTGAGGCATTTGTGAGCCAAGGTCACACTGTATTAGCTAGTTACCCCAACAGTTCCAATGATATGCAATACATAATTTTAAAAAAATATATTTTTAATGTGCTCAATAACTAGTGTTCTTTGGGAGAATTAGAAATGAAGTCTCTAAAATGTCTGGAAGAACAGAAAAATCCTTCCCTACATGCTTGGTGAGTCTCTTTGTACCAGTCTTTTCAGAAGCAGAATGCTACAATTAAGAAGGCCTCTCTCATGTAGCTATCTGCCAAACTAATTTTGCATCTCAGCATTCAGAGAATTAAGACTGTTATGCTTTTGCTGGTGACTGAAAGAAGCTCTAATAGAACAAATAGTCACCAACTGCATAAAACCCCAAGTGGTTTGACACCCACCCAGATTACTTTCAGGTCTCTTGTGCTACCCATTCAGTCCTCCTTAGCTTTGATTTTTATGACATTTTATAAAATGACACCTAAATGTGGTGTTCAGTCCTATTTTTAAAAGGACTGATAATTAAGGGAAAGTAGCAGTACTATAATGTATAACTGTTATAAATAGTATGTTACCATTATTCCTCAGAAAAGTTTCTTTTGTTTCTTGATATATATCCAAGAGAAGCACTATTATTCAGTCCTACATTTGAATTCAAAAGTAGAATCAGCTTATTTGATAGGCACAAAAGTTTAAACAAGCCTTCCCCAACACAGAGCCTTTCTGATATCTTGGAATGCAGTTCCCATTTGTTCAATCCAACATAATCAGTAGTTCGCGATGATTAATTATAGTCTAAAACATTTGGAAACACCTGTGTGGGGGAAGACTGTCTAAATAGCTAATGTATTCAACTTCCATTCATTAATGAATTAGGCCTTATAGCAGGGATAAAAGTGACAAAACAAACTTTCTTATAAAGGAAAAAGTGACAGAGAAAGGAACAGAATTAGTAACTTTACAATACAATCCTATGTATTTTTACTGAGAAATAAGTCCCACTGGGTTTGTCCTATCTTAAGTGTGCACTGGAATACAATTTCTAATTATATTAAAAGGGTCTCTTTCTTTCATTGTTATGCACAGCTGCAGATAGGAATTAAACTGATATTGCTCATCTTTTCTAATGACTTGTAGCTTTATTCATCCCTGAAAACTACAGGGGTTTTGAAATGTAGTGCAGTAGTTAAGTGTGCAGTACTGGAACTCAGGCCATCTGGGTCGTAGTCCCCATTAGGCCATGGAGCCAACTTGGTGACTTTGGGCCAGCCATAGACTCTCAGCCCAACTTACCTCAAAGGATTGTTGTTGTGAGAATAAGATAGAGAGCAGGAGGAGAAGAATTACACAAACCGCTGTGAATTCAGTGTAAGACAAAAGCAGGATATAAATGAAATAAATAAAATGAGGTAGAATATTAAAATTCTAAACAAACAAAATACACCTCAGTAACTAAGAAAAAGGTGAGGTTTCTGCGCTGCTTGTTCCCAAGGTCAATTTTATGAACAGAAATTATAGAGGTCTGGGTTTCCCAAATAATGTGAAGATAATTTGTGCTATCTCCAAATTGTGATGAATCTCACATGGTGTAGCACTCTTCAGCTACCTGGAATTAACATATCATCATTATAAGGATTTATAATTATTTTTGCAGTCCATCATTAATATTTATTGCAAATCCCTAACACTATGTGTTAGGACAGCCATTGTTATTTCCATTTCTATGGTATGAACCCTGAAACTTTTCTAATTCATATCAGGTTTCACTGCCAGCATAATATTGTACAGGTTGGTATGTTTTGCCCTCCCATGCATGTGTTACCAGCATACTTCATCTAGAGAACTTTGGCTGTTAGGAAGTATAGAAATTCAACGAGCAAACAGACTCTTACATAATCTTACGTGACTCTTCTGATTAGGCAACTGTTTTAAAACTGACAATTGCTGTACCTGCAAATACTTTTAAGTAAAACCCCCAAAATAAATATTTTTTGAAATATGCTTCTAACAATTTGTTAGGAGCAATATAAGGGTTGAAAAATTATCAGCTGGAAGGGGAAAAAGCAATCCAAACAGCTTAAAATAGGTTCCTTTTAAGTGGGAGCTCTGATAGAAACAGGGCTTACAGGCTCAGCAGGAAGGAAACCAAATTCCTATAGAATCAGGAAAGGAATGGAATCTACACAATTCTAAAAGGAAGGAAAAAATCCAGCCTGCCTCTGAGAGACAAGCATACACATATACATACACTATGGGGGATAATTAAAACTATGTTTTTTAAAATAATGAACTATTTCCAGGCCCCCCATTGAATTTAACAACAGCTTGTCACTAGTGGTTATTCAGTGATGCAGATGTTGACAAAACAGGAAGGGTTGAGTAACACAGCAGTAATTTATGCTGAAAGCTGCTTGATGTTCTCAGTCTGATGAAACTAAGAGCAGCTTTACAAAGTGTAGGGGAAATAAGAGATCTCTTTTATCTTTCTTTAAAAAAATGCAATTTTGGATATATGGAAAGGGGAATCTTAATTCCTAAAAGTAAATAGGGAAGATTTATTTAGACCCTTTAGGTATAAGTTACTTCAGCTTTATTAATTGCATGTCTCAATAGACATAATTAATTGTAACAATACAATTTATTTGTTTATATATTAAATTTTAATCATGCCCATTAGCCAAAATACAAGACAAAAGAACACTAATATCAATTGCAATCTTCTTTCATAATGTCCTAATAAGGCAGGAATTTGCATTATTAAAGACAATTTTCATGATTTTTAACGATTTTTGCAATGGCAAAAATGTCTTTCAAACCACAATTTCATACACCTTCCAAATACACCAAACTTAATATCACAGAATCAGGGCAAGATTCTGCACCTTGATGTGAAGATGCTCCACTTGATGGCTTGGTTGATTGCTTAGTAGTGACATGGACTGATCTAGACCCACAAGCCAAACTCAAGCAGCATTGCAACCAAATACTAGATACTCCTATTCCATTAAATGGAACACATTCAAGAATTATACTAGGGAACATGTCTTTGACCTGACTCAGGTCCCAATAAGTAAAATCTTAGAGTTCCTTCATTCCTTATATGTCAGAGGCTTAAAACCCTTTTCCATCAAAATTTGTGTCTCTTCCATTTCATCTGTGAGAGGTCCAATAGTGTTTACTCAGACATTCCCTTCTAAACTAAAATGGGAGCCAGGTTCCAAGACCAAAATGCTTGTCTCCATGTGAACTGAATGTGGGAGCCTACCCCTTTTATACTAGGAGCGGGGTAGGGCTCCTGTTGAAAGTTCCAGGCTTAGCTAGGAGAATCTTCCCAAATGAAGACACTGCACAGGCACAGAGCCATATGTGTGAATGCACAGATGATCACTCAAAGAACAACAATTACAGGTAAGCAACCTTACCTTTCTGTCCTTACCCCCATATTATTTAATAGCTGTATAAAACCACTGGGAGATAATTTTTAAAAGATGGAAATTGCATCTCAGCCTCTTTTCTGAGGAAAAGCCTGCTGTCAAAATTCTGAGTCTCTTTTAAACAGTCTTTTTACAGGATAATGGGCATTTCTTTGACAGGGTTATGTATAGCTAGCTATCAAAACTCCTTGTAACCCAATGAAAGGCTGGGATACATGTTTTCATTTTCCTAACCAACTAGAGTCTCAGAACACAGTGCAAAATGTCCTTAATGCAAAGGACTGTCAGAGCAAAGAGAAGGGTGAGGAGGATCTTGCCCTAACATGGGTATAAATCATGTCCCATTCATGCCTGGGTTGGATTAGTTCGCTTTCTTAAACTAGAAATGATTTTAGTCAGAAGAATTGTTTTAGCATAATGTACGTACGCTATGCTGAAGGGATTGGGAATTGGCATTCTCACTAAATTTGATGCACACAGTGCAGGATAGCCTAATTCCTAAAAGAGTCTAAAAACTGTACATTTGTACATCTCTGTCTTGAAGTGAGAAGCATGATGTGTGGCAAGAATACTTTTGTATCAGTGAAATAGCTGAGATTTAGTATAAACAGATGCCAGTGATCCTCATTCATTCTGAATATAGGACATTTTACATTAAATAGTTAAAAGTAGGGAAATGAAAGTCTGCCTAATTTTTATATGTCAGCTCTCAAGTATTGAACAGACCAAATCTGGAAAAGAATTTTAGGCAGTCGGACAAACTTCAGCCAGCTTTGGATTCAGAGAGGAAGGTTTCCATTGGCAGTTAGGAATATGAAGCCATGTTTGAAGAATACAGGATTGGTTCTTAGGCTGAGTTTTGTAGAATATCTTTATAAGTTTATGTTATACATTATTATGCAAATTGTATTATTGTCTTTGACTTGATTTTGCTTGGCAGTGATTTGTTTTACTGACTTTGTATTCAAATCATACTAATTTTGGAATGTTTGTTTACAGGGTGGAATGATTAACTGGAATCGTCTCTTTCCTCCTTTACGTCATCGAGGTAATGCAAACTATCAGGATAATCACCAGGCTGAACATGAGGTACTGCCACCAGTGGAAGTTTCTGAAGAACAGGTAGGCATGTGCAGGTTTTAATACCGGTAGTCTTGGATGAGGAGGAGGAGTAAAACAAGATTATGCATTTTGTTATTATAATTCTCCTTAGTTTACAGCACATCCAAAGTTTCCTATATTCCTTGCCTGGCAGGGCTGATCCCATTCTGGTTCCTGACTCTTAGCAGACCAGAGCAGAGCAGATTGGAGCAAGCTGCCCCAACTGGTCTAGGGCCTCTGGGATAAAAGCATCCAAGCTCCCAGGGAGCAAGCAAACATGGAGAACAGGAATTTGGTAGTGCAGTTTTGTGGGGGAGGTCTCTAACTATTTTCCCCTCCTTTTCTTTCTGTTCCCCTAGTTCTGTTCCCCCGTCCCCCCCCCCCCCCCCCCCCGGCCACACACAACTTGTTTTCCTGCTTTCCCTATTAGTAGGACTCTATGTTAACATTTAGTAAAGAGAGGCAAAAGCATCAGTTGCCACAACAGCTCCCCAAGACAGAATCACAAAAGTTGTACCGACAATGGACAAAGACTCCCCTGTGGTGGTGACCTGCAACAACTGTGCAATGTTTTCTTACCTGGGTGCAGCATGGCCTACACATGTAACAAGTGCAAGCTACTAGCCCTGTTTAAAGAAAAGGTGAGAGCAATGGAGCAGTGAGTATCCTCCCACAAGGTAATAAAAGAAAATGAAGAGACAGAGCAGTAGAGCTGCAACAGCTCAGTATAGTCTAGAAGCAAGAAGTGTATGAACAAGCTGAGGCAAAAGAAGAGAACCCTGTGGGAAGCAAAAATGAGGGAACTCCCCAGAACAGGGTGTTAATTAGGTGCAGAAGAACTAGAAGGCTCTCTGCGCCAGGGGAAGCAGTGGAACTGTTGAACTGCTTTAAGTTACTTGAGGAAGAGACTAATGAAAAACCCATTGTGAAAGAACTACACAACACACTGAGTACTTTTGAAAAACAGACAAAAGGTCAATCAAGAAAGGAAAAAGATACCAATGTTTGTAACAACAAAAAGAAAAGCAAGCATGATAGTTGTGGCAGATTCACTGTTGCGTGAGATGGAAAAGTATGCATGTTGTGATGACCCCAAGAATTGCCAAGTACGCTGTCTCCCTGGTGCCAAGATATAACCAGTAAGTTCATGAATCTTGTACAATGTACTGACAAATACCCCTTCCTTCTCTTCCACATGGGAACCAATGTCACTGCCAGGAGAAGCTTTGATGAAATAACATCAGACTGCATAGTACACACGGGCAGTTATGATCCTTATACTTGTAGAAATAACTGAAACTTGTTGGGATGACTCACATGACTGAAACTCTACAATTGATGAACACAACCTGTTTAAATAAGATAGAAAGGATAAAAAGGGAGTGGAGTTGCACTATATGTAAGATGCACATTTATCTGCACAGAAATACAAAAAAGAGAAACTTGGTAGCCCCATTGAAAGCATCTGGCTTAATATAAAGGAAGTAAAAATGACAAAACATAGTTATTGACATCTATTACCAACCATTCAGTCAAAAAGAGGAAAAGGATGTAACCTTCAAAAAGCAACTTGCCACCATTTCCAAGAATAATGAGGTTGTCATCATGGGTAACTTCAAGAGTCCCAAAGTCATAAAACAGCTGAGAGGAGCTGAGAGAAGGAACTCTCAGAACCACTGACTATTATCTGCAATAAATCTTGGAAAATGGGAGAATAAATCCTGTCAGAGTAATTTAATCTCATTTTTTTTAACTAGGTAATCTCCCAAATGCACAGAGGGATCACTGGGACATAATCTACCTCAACTTTAGCAAAGTGCTCAGTGTAGTCCCCCATGACATTCTGATAAGCAAATCAGCAAAAATGGACTAGATCGAGAAACTATTAGGTGGGTGCAAAATTGGCTTGTAAATCAAAATTGGCTGTTAAATCATTAATGGCACCTTCTCAAACTGGAGAGAGATAATTAGTGGGTTGCTGCAGGGTTCAGTTCTAGTTTAGCTCTTCAACATCTTTTTTAATGATTTGGATGAGGAAGTAAAAGGAAAGAAATTCAAATCTGCAGACAATACAAAACTGAGTAAACATCCTAGAAGACAGAATGAAGATCCAGGGCAATCTTGATAAATTTGAACACTGGGCTGAAAGCAACTGAATGAAGTTCAATAGGTTTAAATGCCAAGTCCTCCACCTAGGAAAAAGAAACCAAATGCACTGATACAAGATGGGGAATATGTGGTTCAACAGAACTTAAAAAGAAAAAGGCCTTGGAGTTATTGTGGACAACAGGCTAAATATGAGACAGTAGTCCAGTGCATCTGCAAAAAGGACAAATGCTAGTTTGGGATTGTGAAGGGTCAGTTTGGGGTTATTTTGGGGCTCACCATCTCCTACTCAATAGCTGGTCAAAGGGAATGTACCATGGAGGGGAAAGAGACAATGAAGCCAGTGCCTGGGGTGTCAAGACCTCCAGCAAGGGAGCATTGCGTGGGGGAGGCATGTGCACAGCCCAGCACTGAGCACCCAGGTGTGCAAGTGCAGGTGCTTGCCCCAGGGAAGGAGTACCTGGAGGAGAGGGTGGAGGTGGTGTAGTGCAGGAGGGATAAAGAGAAGGGACAGAGAGGTAGACATGGCATCAAGAGAGAGAAGAAAGCAGCAGCAGGAAGGAGAACGGGACTCAGCGGGCAGGAAAGAAGCTTAACCCCTACAGTCTGTGTCTAAGGATGGACACAGCTCACCTTTATCCCCCTGGGAGGAGGGGTGCCTGCATGGGGAAGTAACAGCCTATCGAGACTTGGTGAAGGGGAGAGGAATTGTCCCACTGTGCACATGCATGGTAAGGAGCCAGCAGAGAAGGGGATTTGTCAGCACAAAAGCCAAGTCTCTGAAGAAGTTGACTGCAGTCCCTGGAAGCAGTGGGGAAGACGCTGCTCCCTGCCCTAGCTGGACAGTCAGGAGCATGCCTGAAGTTAAAGTGATGGCTTCCTTTTCAGCTAAGCCTCTGTAAGAAGTGGTGAGATGGTCCTGCTGTTTCTGAACCAAGTATTGTATTAAAGATGTTGCACTTCTGTATATGACTATTAGTGGTGATGGGAGCAGAGGCTGATGTTCCCCTCACCCTCACACAATCACAGGGATATATTAACAGAAGTATTACTTCCAAAACATGATAAGTAGTAACTCCCCCCTAGTCAGACCTCATCAGGGATACTATGTCCAGTTCTGGGCACCAAGATTTAGAAAGAAACTGGACAGTCATCTGAGTGAAATGGTGTAAATTGGTGACTTGCAACAGCAGGGGGTTGGACCCAATGACCTTCTTGGCCCTTCCAACTCTACTGTTTTCTGATTCTGTGATATGATTTTATCATTAGATGAAGTCAAGGCAGATGCTAATAGTTACTGTATTAATATTTGTTGTAAAATGTGCTTGAATTCTGCATTTAATGGAGCTGTAACTCTGATGTTCAATGAGTGGAAAACATCCACATAAGAAATATCCATTTCCTTTTGCTTATATCATAGCAATACATCTCTACTAGTTAACTGGAAGGAAAAGAGTGGCAGCTATTTTTAATGTTTAAAACTTGTAAAAAAAAAACCAAGCAGGGTACATCAGTTGCTTGCATGAGCTTATTGTTTGGTTTCTTTTATTTATTTTACTTCATGTATATACAGCTTTTTGGCCAAAGAACATCATGTAGTTTAGTTTAAAATAATCTGAGATAACAAACCTATGATCTCTCCAACACACTCCTCACAGCCATATTGCAACTGGCACAAAAAGAACCACCAATGAAGAAAGAACATTACTGACTGCCCTCCAAGGTCAGGAAAGTGACCTCAGTAGGAGGTTCTGGAAAGGGAGCGTTCCAGTGATGGGAGAGGACAGGAGAGGGCAGGATGTGTGTTATTCCGAGTTACTTCTAGCTTCCTTCTCTTCCGCTCTGCAACACTTTTGACTGACAGGTTAAAAAGCCTTTCTACCAAAATCTGCAGGGCAAGGAAGACAGGGGAGTGAAGGTTGCCTCCATTACTCCTGCTACCCTGCACTGATGGTTGGACCCCTCTGAGTTCGTGGGCTTCTAATCACTAAGTGTGCAAATGATAGGATTATACCCTTAGAGACAGAATAGAAATTAGAAAAGGAGGGCAAAAAATAAACAAACTTGGTTCCCAACTCTTTCATAATCTTACATCATGAAAGTATTTGAAATGAAGGAAAGCATGCCAGGAGAGAAGGGAAGCAGCTTCTACATGGCCATAGCTGAGTCATTGGAGGGTGCCTAGCTGTTGTGACTCTTCATCATGTGTAGGATTCACCTAATGTAGAGTGACCAGTGAAGGAGACCATTCTAGGAGGAAAAGAGCCAAATGGCTGTTGGCCCAGGTGGGCTGTTACAAGGGGCTTTCTTGTTTGCCTGTGGCTCTGATTCATTACTATAATGGAAAGAGAGGAATTAAAATCAGGGCAATGACAAATAATGATCATTTTCTGTTCATTAAAAGCACAGGTGCTATCATTCTGCAAATGTTGATTCATTTAGAAATTTGCTTTCTGTTTTATACTGTTAAAATGATAGCAACATCTGCAGTGTTCACTGAATAATTAAACATACACACATGGAGATATAGGAAATATTATCTGATACAATAAATAATAATTCTTGCCTTCTTCATGAGCACTGGCGCTCAAACTGTATGTGTCAAGCTTTCAGAAGGGGTTTAATTAAAGGCTGAACAAAATGTTCTTCAGAAAGACACCCTTTCAGAGAGAGGGACAATTCAGAGTACAGATGCACACATTGTTTCTCTCTCCCCTCCTCTGCTCAGGCAGTTTTTTCAGTTAACACAATAGCAGTCCATATTTATTTAATTTAATTTTTTAATAATTTAATTTTAATAAAACATTTCTAACCTGTCCTTCATGGCAGCATCCCAGGACAGCTTACAAGCTTAAAATCAACAACGATAAAAACAATCAATAATACATAGACAATAATAAATAACTAGTAATGAT